ATTACAATTTCTTGTAGATATAATAATGCAAAGTTTCTTGTAGGTTCAGCATACAGCTAGCCAATAGAGCCATTTTTTGTGTTTTTTCTTTATTTTTTGATTACCAGGAGGTTCGGGCCTTAGGCCGTAATTCTCTTAGGGTCCAGAGCAGACCGGGTGAAAGCCTCTGGCCAAACGGAAATATCTAGTAATTTCGCTGTTGAAAGGAATCGATCCCTAATTTAGACCAACATGGCAACTCCTCGCTCAAGTGTAAACCACTAGACCAAGACCACCTGGTTTATTTTTTGTAGTCTTGTGTGTTACGTACGTGTGAGTTGTTTATTAGTGGTGTAGTTATTATTGATCTAGTTTTTCTTTTGTTGGGGCAACCGAAAACTTCCATTGAGTTAAGCTAAAGAATTTTCATACAAAGCTGGAGATTGTTTTGCAAGAAAGTCAGCTTCACACTGTAATTTGCTGCTCATGGAATAAACTCAATGCAAAAGCTTGAAAAAAGCGTTGGGGCCAGGGATCGATTCCCCTCAAGCGCGAAATCACAAGATATTTCCATTTGGCTATGGGTTTTTACTCGGTTTTCCCCAGACCCTAGAAAGATTACGGGCCTAAGGTCAGAACCTTCTGTTAATTTAAAAAAAAAAGGATACTAATAAAGATATCAGCAAGCACTCCATGGAGTTCTGAGATGTTAGATTTAGTGTTTATCGCCTTGACCAAATCACTACAATCCGACTAAATTTGTATGCTAAAAATTCTAAGACTCCTTGCATACTCGAGGGCTGCATGAACAGCTAAAGCTTCCGTATTGCAGTAACTATTATTATAGAGCTAGTTAATAGTTACAATAAACACATATTAGATTATTGGTTTGATTAACTGTGTTAAAATTTCTTTTAACCAAATGGTTTGTGCATAGATTTAATAGGTTTGCGTCCGGTTAAAATGTCCATCCTCGTACAATTGTACTACTTATAACCATTTGATCAGTCATTTGATATTGTTATCGATAGCGAATGAGAGAAGTTGAGTGATATGAGGACACAACTTCAGGAATACGACAAACCAAATTAATTTGTTTAGCCTAAACCAAAATTTATTAACAGACAAAGAAAATGAACATTTACATTTTAGAAAATAAATAAATAGAATATCGAAGACACAACTTGGCGTAAGTAAGTAGTAAACCCAAAATTTCTTGACAAATAAGATAACAAATAGGTTTATGAAGTTAGAGTGTTACTGGGGAACTTTGCATGCAAGACAGAACAGCGTTAAGAACATGTGCGATATGATGTGGTGTAATAAATCTCTCAACATAGTTATGTTTCTTCTTTTTTTTTTTTTTTTTACTCTTATTAATACTATTGTAACGTTGTACAAGAACAAAACCATGTGATTATCGTACTGGCTTAGAAAAAAATATAATATATTGATAAATTTTATAATTTTTCTAGAAGTCATGTGTGCAAATCTCTTGAAGCAAAATGAATATTATATATGTGCATCCTTGATTACGTTTCTGTACGTAATAGTAAATGCAATACCAAGATGGCAAGTTACACTCGATAATATATATTATATACGTAGAAAATGTAATAGTTTACTAGTGTTGTGTGCATGAGGATATGTTAGAACTTAGACGTTTCTATAAATATGTGCATGTATGTGGAAGAATAAGCAGAAAGCAGAATAAGAGGTATAATATAAAGAGAGCGTCTCGTTTTCTTTTTCGTTTCTCTCAATACCTTGTATCAATGGCTAACGTAAAGCTTGTTTACTATTACCTCATTTCCCACTTTTTCAAGATTTGCTTGCTCCCGCTAATAGCACTTGTAGCCACTAAAGCATCAAACCTCAACCAAGAAGATGTCCAAAATCTTTGGTTCCATCTCCAACACAACATTGTAGCCCTAACCATTCTCTTTGCGGTTGTCACTCTTGGGTCAGTCATACACTTTATGACCCGACCTAGACCAGTTTACCTAGTTGACTACTCCTGCCATCTCCCGCCTCCATCTCAAAAGGTCACTGTCCAAAAGATCGTAGAATGTATCAACAAGAATCGGGAACTGGACTACTCTTCTAAGATTCTGCCTGAAGACTCTTCGGTGGACTTCTTTTTTAGGGTACTTCAACGTTCGGGTCTCGGGGAAGAGACTTACGTACCAGAAGCACTTTTAAATGTCCCACCTATTCAGACCATGGAGGCTGCACGTATGGAAACAGAACAAGTTATTTTCGACGCCATTGACAATCTCCTAGCCAACACCAAAGTTAACACACGCGATATCGGTATAATCATCGTGAACTCAAGCATGTTTAACCCTACTCCTTCACTCTCAGCGATGGTAGTGAACAAGTACAAGCTTAGGAGCAATATCAAAAGCTTTAATCTTGGCGGTATGGGTTGTAGCGCGGGTGTCATAGCTATCGATCTTGCCAAGGACTTGTTGCAAGTACATAAGAACACTTATGCTCTTGTGGTGAGCACAGAGAATCTCACCCGCAACCTATACATTGGTGATAATAGATCTATGCTTGTCGCCAACTGTTTGTTCCGTGTTGGTGGAGCCGCGATCTTGCTCTCTAACAAGTCAGGAGACCAAAGACGTGCCAAGTACAAGCTACTTCACACGGTCAGGACACATACTGGAGCTGATGACAAATCTTTTAGATGTGTTCAGCAAGAAGATGATGACTCGGGCAAAACCGGAGTCTCCCTGACCAAAGATATAACATCAGTGGCTTCAAGAACCATTACCAAAAACATTGCTACTTTAGGTCCATTGGTTCTTCCATTAAGCGGAAAGGTTCTCTTTTTCATAACATATATCCGCAAGAAATGTTTTAACGACAAGATTAAGCATTATGTCCCTGACTTCAAGCGAGCCATTGATCATTTTTGTATCCATGCGGGTGGGAGAGCTTTGATCGATGAACTTGAGAAGAACTTGGGGCTATTGCCAATAGACGTGGAGCCATCCAGATCAACTTTGCATAGGTTTGGTAATACTTCTTCGAGCTCTATTTGGTATGAGTTAGCTTATACAGAAGCCAAAGGTAGGATGAAGAAAGGAAACAAAGCTTGGCAGATTGCTTTAGGGTCAGGGTTTAAGTGTAACAGTGCGGTTTGGGTGGCTCTACGCAATGTCAAGCCTTCTGTTAATAGTCCTTGGGAGCATTGTGTTGCTAAGTACCCGATTAAGCTTGATTTTTGATAAATGTCAAAAGTTTATAAGGTTGATCTCCACGATGTATGGTTGGCCCTCTACTTATTTATCTTTCTTTATGATTTAATCGTGTAATTATGGTCTCTTTTGTTCATTATATATTAATAAAAGACTGCATTAATTGGTGTTATAAGATGATGTTCGCAAACTTGATGTGAGGCGTTCGGGTTCGAGTCAGGTATTTCGGGTTTCGGGTTTAGAGATATAGAACCCGTTCGGGTATTTCTAGATTTAAGGTTCGAATCGGAATTTTTGGGTTTGGGTTCGGATTACCCGAAATTCTCAAAATTCAAAATTTGAGTATCCAAATATGTCCAAACTACTAAAAAATTTCAAAACCTATATAATTTTTTACTTAAATTTATTTTAAAAAGAGTTATAACTTTAAAACAATCAAAATATACAAAAATTGGATAATTTTGACATTAGATTATTACAAAAATATATATAATATTAATAAATTATTATTATATATTTATATCATGGATGCATTCGGATATCCGTTTGGGTTTCGGTTCGGTTCGGGTTTGGATTCGGATTTTCGGGTTTAGAGACATAGAACCCGTTCGGGTATTTTTAAGTTTCGGGTTCGAGTTCGAATCGGATTTTTCGGATCGGGTTCGGATCATGTTTGCGGGTTTGGGTATTTTGCCCAGGCCTACCTTGCGGAATCTCTTAAACAAAAATCCACTAAATGTTATTTTATATAAAAGAACTCTTAATCATCTTATTAACCGTTTTTTTTTTTAAACTCTCAAGCATTGGCATTTGGCTTAAGAACACTTAAAAAAAAAACTCTCATGTTGGCAATGGCATACTAGAACTGTTTCATTTTGAAAAGGAAAAGTCAAAATTGAAAATATTATCAGACTTAATAATGTACACTCATTATTCACTAATCCCTTAAATTTGCTTTGTATTTGTTTTATCCAAAAAAACATTCTTTCTCTTAATTCATAGTACATTTAATATTTACTAATATAGATAATAAATGTTACACTTAATATGAGCATGTTAGCGAAAATGAGGAAGAAAGAGAGGAAGATGTCATGGAAGTTATAATATAGAGGTAGACCAGTGGAACAATGTAGCTGTTACTGCTCCAACGTATCAATGCAACGATGCATCATCATCTTCATTGTGCTCAGATGTTGAACCAATGTAGCTGTTTGAACCACTGTTTCCTCTTCAGACAAGATGAAACTTCAGTGATTTGTTGTGTTGAACGTATTTATGCCTTCTATTACATATGTATAATCCATTGTATCGAACATATTTGATGCGTTTATTATCTATGACAGAATGATATCGACTTTCAAAACTGAATGTCTAATGGTCTTATGTTCAGTGATTGTTGTCACCATTGAGAACTTATATTAGGACATTGTGGAAATGGTAACTATGGTATACAATTTTACCTATAAAACGGCTTCAGGTGTTGGGCCAAGGTTCAAGAAAACTCTAGGCACAACCATTACTGGTGGCTGCATGACCAAGACTCTAGAACGAATAAGCTTAAATTTTCATAGAGAATCTAGCTGGTATCAACATCAACCCCTATCGAGACTACCATAGGTCCATCCAACATAACAAGCATAGCGAAATCACACATGATGGATGAACTGAATGCCAAGGTTGATAGGATTTTTAAGAGTTTGGAGAAGCTCAAGAGTATTAAAGTTATCAAGAAAACGCAGTAGATACTAGGGCTGGCTCGGAACCGTTTGGTGGAACTGCAGATTCAAGAGGCAAACAAGCTAGGTGGTAGTTACAACGAGTGTAACAACACAATCCTATTAAGATGGCGTCACAAGCCTTTCAACACAAGCATGTTTATTTTTGGAAGTAAACTGAGAACTACTGTAAAGTTATTTGAATTAAATAAAACTGGTTTAACTTGAAATTGAGTTAAATCAAGTCAAACCAAAACTTGAACAATGTCAAAATTAATATATAATATATTAAAAGTAAGTCAACTAAAAAACTCAGGAAGACTTAAGGAATACAATTTTTCGATTTAAGGATATAAAGATCAAGAAACAATATTTTCGAGGATGTTTGAGACGTGGTCAAAGTTCGGGGTCTATATGATACAATGCGATAATCATAATAGAGAAATAGGTAGTTTTCCCTTCTTTTTTTTGTCACCGTAAAACATCAGCTTACAAGTTGATCGGAAACAAACACTTTCTAAGGAAAACCACGAAAAAGTCAGATATACTTGTGAGGGAGAACAACTATCCACGCCTTCTTGCCTTCTTTGGCAAGATAATAAGACCGTCCATTTCTTCACTAAAAGTTATCTAGATTGAGTATTATTGAGAAATTAAAAGTGGTTATCCAAGTAAACGCAAGTCTCCCCTTACCTAGAAAATTCAACGATGGCTAGCTGTTGTATTTTTCCAATTAAAAGAAAAATTCAATGATTGGAACAACTTGCTGTCTCCAAATGAAAGAAACTTTTCCATTACAAAATACCTTTACAAAGGCTTTTTCATGTTTAAATATGTTTTGTTGAACAGCCCATTAGTTGATTTTTGTTGTACAGTACACAGAAAAATATGGAACAAAAAGTTAACAAAGAACGAAGAAGCCAATGGGTAGAGTTGAAAGAAAAGCACGAGAGAAAAAAAGATACAATTAGTTTGTTACCTGTCCAAAAACATTCTCACATTAAAAACAGTTTATTACTGGGGTTGGTTTGACGATAGCAGCTAGACCCTTCTCATAAGAGAAAATTCAAAGATGCGACATATGTTTCTCAAGAAAATTCAAAGATCGATAGATTTTTATACGTTATTTGATCGAGAAAGAGATAAGGATAACGAACAGAAGAAACTTCAAAGGCGAGACCTGTTGATGTTTCTAAGTAAACGCAACGTTTCCTTACAAATACCTTACAAAGGCCATTTGCATTTACCAAAGAAAATTACACATAAACATGAGCTCTAATAGTAGTTGTTGTTCTCTTTTGGTTCTCCTCTCTCTACAACTTTTATTGATCCTTGATTCTGCAGATCTCACCGTTTCCATCACTTGCGTTAGGGAATGTGGAGGAACGAACATCCCTTACCCATTTGGAATCGGAAAGGGTTGCTATCTTGAGAAATTCTACGAGATTGAGTGTGTTAATTCTTCCTCTATTCCAGGGAAGAGTGTTCCTTTTCTTTCCGTAATTGGCAAGGAAGTTGTGGAAATCTTTCTTCCACCAACATTATACACGAGGTATACCATTGCACAAGGGTCAGTTCGCATAAAAACCCGAGTAACTTCAAAGGGGTGCTCAAGCCGCGGAGATGAGCTTGAAACACCTTTAAATTTGACGGGGACACCTTTTTACGTTAGCTCCAATAATAAATTGATAGCATCTGGTTGCAACAACAAGGCATCGTTGACGAATATCGAGTCGAACATTGTGGGATGCACGTCTAGCTGCGTCCCAGCCAACCGTACAGCCTCAAAAGATTATCTTGCGGCACTCAGCAGATGTAGTATATATGGAACCCCCAATTGTAATGCCGAAAGCATTACCAATGAAACAAACTGCAATGGGTATCTATGCTGCCAAGCAGACATCCCTGCTCTATATGAACAACAAACTGTGGGTGTGGGAATTGAAAGCACCACTACGACAACGGAAGGGTGCAAAGTCGCCTTCTTAACGGACGAGGCATACTCTTTGTCAGATGGATCTGATCCGAAAAAACTTCATGCTGATGGAACAGCGAGAATTGAGCTAGGATGGTTCATCAAGACGTCCAATCGTTCGTATGTAGACTCCTTGGGATGCGAAAGTTTTGAAGTATATGGAAATTTAACGGAACGCTCACTTGAAAGTACTTACTCAATAGATTGTGTTTGCGACTACAATGCTTCCTACAATGCTTATCTAAGTTATGCAAGATGCTCATGCAATGAAAAGTACAAAGGCAACCCATACCTTCCGGGTGGAGGCGGATGCAAAGGTAAGAAATTGCGTTTATTTCATTTCTTAATCAAAAAGGCTCAGGATTATCTTCTGACTCCAATTTCTTTACATTTTGAAATCAGATATTAATGAATGTCTAGAAGACGAATATGGAAATTACAAAAAATGTAGGGGTGGAACGTGTGTCAATTTGCCTGGACACTATAGGTGTGTATACAAAAAACATCGGCCAATTGCTACAGGTAAATCGTGCAAATTTCTATCTCAAATTTACTTGCATCTAGTTAGCATGACCTGGGCGTTTGGGTAATTGGGTCGGGTTTGTTTCGAGTTTTTTTGGGGTTCGAATATTTAGGATTTAGAAATTAAGTACACGCTCGAATATTTTAAAATTTTGGGTTTGGATCGAGTATTTTGGATTCGAAGTCAGGTTTATCTGAAGTACCAAAAAATTTACAGATTTGTATCCGAATCTATCCAACTATACATAAAATATCTAAAAGTCTCGAATATTTTATATCCATATTTACGCAAAAGTAGCTGAAAACCCCAAAATATCTAAAATATCCCAAAAAACTGAATAGTTTAGGCACTTTAGTTATTACAAGTATAATACAACTAATGAACTGATGTATTATTACTATATATATAAATATATGTATTTATATTTTGGGATTTGTTCTGATACTTGTTCGTAGAATCTCTTGTGCCATTTGACAAAGATTTTTTTATACACACATACCCTTTAATGTTTTTACCTTTTGAGTTTTGACCATATATTGAGTTTTGAAGTTTAGAACCTGTTTGTTTGAAAATTTGGACTCAGATTCGGGTCAAGTTTTACGTGTCGGGTTTGGGTCGGTTTCTCGGGTTCATGCATTTTTCCCAGGCCCTACCAAACAATATAAGAAAAGTTAGTTTTCAACCTTTTCTTTTTTTGGTCGATTTGCAGGGATTGGTTCGAGTTTTGGCTCATTAGCTTTTATTGTTGGAATATACTGGTTATACAACTTTATTAGAAAGCAGAAGAGGTTAAAGCAGAAGAAGAAGTTCTTCAAGCGTAATGGGGGTCTACTGTTGCAGCAACAATTGACTGCAACAGAAGGTAACCTCGAGAAGACGAAAGTATTCAGCTCGAGAGAGTTAGAAAAAGCTACCGAAAATTTTAGCGTAAATAGAATACTTGGCCAAGGTGGTCAAGGTACTGTGTACAAAGGAATGCTCGTCGATGGTAGAATTGTAGCTGTGAAGAAATCCAAAGTCGTGGACGAAGATAAGTTGGAAGAGTTCATCAATGAGGTTGTCATTCTTTCGCAGATCAACCACAGAAACATCGTGAAACTTTTAGGGTGCTGTCTTGAGACAGATGTTCCTGTTCTTGTCTACGAGTTTATTCCTAATGGTAACCTTTTTGAACATCTTCATGATGAATTGGAGGATTACACGATGACTACTTGGGAAGTGCGTCTCCGCATTGCTGTGGATGTTGCAGGAGCTCTTTCATACTTGCACTCGGCTGCGTCGTCACCAATCTATCATAGAGACGTCAAGTCTACAAACATAATGTTGGATGAAAAATATCGAGCCAAAGTATCTGATTTTGGAACATCAAGATCAGTAACGGTGGATCACACCCACTTGACTACGGTAGTTTCAGGTACGGTGGGATATATGGATCCAGAGTACTTTCAGTCTAGCCAATTCACAGATAAAAGTGATGTCTATAGCTTTGGGGTTGTGCTCGTGGAGCTCATCACGGGTGAAAAGTCAGTTTCGTTTCTGAGATCTCAAGAAAACAGGACACTGGCAACTTATTTCATTCATGCAATGAAACATAATACACTCTTTGATATCATCGACCCACGGATCAAAGATGGCTGCAAGTTGAATCAAGTGACCGCAGCTGCAAAAATTGCAAGGAAATGTCTGAATCTGAAGGGGAGAAAGCGACCAAGCATGAGAGAAGTGTCCGTGGAGTTAGAGAATATTCGCTCGTCTTCTAGAGATATGCTGCATATGAGTATATTAGCGAAAATGAGGAAGAAAGAGAGGACGATGTCATGGAAGTTAATATAGAGGTAGACCAGTGGAACAATGTAGCTGTTACTGCTCCAACGTATCAATGCAACGATGCATCATCATCTTCATTGTGCTCAGATGTTGAACCACTGTTTCCTCTTCAGACAAGATGAAACTTCAGTGATTGTTGTGTTGAACGTATTTATGCCTTCTATTATATATGTATAATCCATTGTATCGAACATATTTGATGCGTTTATTATCTATGACAGAATAGTATCGATTCCAAAAATGAAATGGTCTAATGAATAAGCTTAAATTCTTATATAGAATCTAGCTGGTATCAACATCAACCACTATCGAGACTACCATAGGTCCGTCCAACATAACAAGCATAGCGAAATCACACATATTGGATGAGCTGAATGCCAAGGTTGATAAGCTTTTTAAGAGTTTGGAGAAGCTCAAGAGTATTAAAGTTATCAAGAAAACGCAGTAGATACTAGGGCTGGCTCGGAACCGTTTGGTGGAAGTGGAACTGCAGATTCAAGAGGCAAACAAGCTAGATGGTAGTTACAACGAGTGTAACAACACAATCCTATTAAGATGGCGTCACAAGCCTTTCACCACCATGTGTTATTCTTGGAAGTAATCTGAACTAAATCTAGTTCAGTTAAATCAAACTGGGTTAGCTTGAGATTGGGTTAAACCTAGTCAAACCAAGACTGGACCAGTGTCAAAATTAATATATTGAGTCAAAAATGTATTCAACCAAAAACTCAGATTGTCCGACTAGCGCCTACCACCAACGTTTCAAACATTGGTATCGTTCATCATTTTATGAGAATTACACTGTCAGTATGACAGTATACACAAAAACGAGTTTGTGAAACTGACAGAAGCTTTTTGATGATGCTTGCCTCTACATAAAAACTAATCTGAGTGACAAGCTTTTCAATACCAGAGAGATCTATCTTATATACTATTTCTCTAAGGAGCCAAAAGACAGTTTCAAGAGTATCCATTCAGATTTTTTCAACGAGTTGAGAAATAAGGACCAATCACTAACCATAAACTACTATTTCTCCATATGCTTCAGTCTGCACGAGAGTTGCTGCTGCCAGAAGCTTTCTTCCCTCCATACTTCTGTTATGAGAATGAGTATTACGCAATATCAACATCAAACCCATTTAAGATTTCTAAACTTAAATCTGGACTAGCTCATGAGGATGCACAACTTACTTGCTTTCCTAGATTGAAGGGGATGTATTTGTACTTCATCATGTGTGCGATTTGGCGCCTCATTGTCAGAACAAACAGAACAATCCAGTAGCAGAGAAGTATTGGCCAAAACACAGGGATATCGAAGAAAGAAAAGAAAGTCATCACAAACGCTATGCAGAATGCCTTAGTCATGGAGTACCTGGTACAGATACAATAACCAGTAGAATCAGACTTTTAACACGTAAGAATTACCAAACAAGATAATGTCGCTTCTGAATACAATTCACTTGGAGACTGGACTTCATACACTAAAACAGCTATGACATCACTTCCCCTAAGCTTATTGGAACTGCTATATTTTGATCTCATGCAAACATACTCTAGATGTAAGAACATATGGTTTATCTGTAATGATTAACTGGAAAATTCCTTGAAGCTAAAAGTGAAACAGGACAGGCAATAGCATGTATAACACTTTTTACCAGGCTTTAGAGCTTAGCATATATTAGCACATAAACAGATCCCGTACTAAAATTACCAGAACTTGAACTCTGGAAGCCGACGGATGAATGGCTTGAACTCATCTGAACCTTTTGTGGGTAGCATCGGACCATCAGATGTATCAAGCTCAGGGTCAACCAGTGGCGACAAAAACCCAATCAGCAGGTTCAGGACATAAATCCCCAACGCATAAGAAATGATATAGAACCCTTGAACATAGAAAACCCTCAAACAGTATATCCCCACAATCACAAGAGTCCCGATCCACCTATTAACCGCGTGAGGCGTAGTCTTGTCTAAGTAATACTGATACACCCTCCACGCCTCGTTCACACGCTGTTGTACAGGTGATGCCATTGAGGCAGCGTCACCTCCAACTCCCTCCATTATCACTAATATCCAAAAGAATCTGCAAAACTCAACAAGATAATCCTATATCAACCAAATGATTCAACCACTTACACAGTTATAGTAGTTCCTCAACATCTAATAGCAATCTAGCTAACAACAACTAATTCAAGCATCAGTTCACATAAAATAAGATCACACTAACATACACAATACTCAAATATGTGATCTTGTACGGACTCTTCAATCAAAATGAGCTCACTGCACGATCGAACAAACTCAAGAAAAATCTCATGATCCGAGACTAAATCCAAACCAAAAACAAGACTTGAATCAACTCAGCAACACCAATTTTTACAGTACCGATACAACGCTTAAGGTCAAGACTCGGAAGATTAAGATCTCGAAATCAGAACTCTCCCTAGATTGCAATGTAAGATTCCGTAACGAAATTTCAACTCCGAAGCATACGAAAACACTAATTGAACCAAGGACACAAGAAGAGTACTGATCAAATCAACCGAAGAAATCGAAAGCGAAGAAGATAGGAATAGAGAAGAGGAGAAAACTCTGACTTCTGCAAGTTTTAGGGTTAATTCGGGCGAGAAGGAGACTGAGATGATGATCCTTGAAGATTGAGTAGTGAAGAACTGATCTCTGTGAAGAAGAAGTGAAGAACCGACGAAGGAAGAAGAGAGGACGGATTGATAAATCTTGGAATAATTGATTCTCAAAGGCGTCACTGTATTTATATGAACTTTCTACTTTCGCCCCAATTATTTAATAATTTGAAATTAAACCTTTATTTTGGTCCGTAACGGATTTTGATAGTTTAAAATTTTTAAGAAGGCTTTTTATGTGATATTGAGAAGGAAATAATTTACTATTGGATCATGAATTTTAAAATGAACATTAAAGACTATTTGAATATGTTATTCAATTATTTGGATTTGGATACTATACGTTATAAATTTTAAATTTAAATATATAAATCTTAAGAACAAAAAAACATAAACGCGCAGGTGTACCACGGGTTTTCAAACTAGATATAACGAATATTATTCATATATTACTTAAAATATATATTTTTCATTTGATAAAAATATTCTAATGTGGGAAATGAAAATAATATAGAACTTGCATATTAATAGGTTGAACGGGTTAGAATTAAAATTAGTCGGTTATACAATGATAAAATGAAATACGTAATTACTTATTTGACACTATAAAATGTGTAATTTCAATACCTAATTACCAAATTAAATGTGTTCTATGATTTAAAGCACATAAATTAATTCTTCTACTTTTAAAAAGAAGAAAAATGTAAAAATTTAACATTGTTGTATTTGTAGATTAAATATTTTCTCACCCTACACCACGGCTTAAAACCAATGTTCATACATGCGTAAAAACTTGTGTAAAGGATAAATAAAAAAGGAACATTATCAAATTCTATATATACTCACATATATTCTCAACCTCTAAACGTTTTTGTAACCTCTAAGATAATAATTCAAAATATTTGATAACGTTAAGAACAAAATCTTCTGCTTTCGCAAACTTGTACAAATGCAATCGAAACTACTCTGTTTAAGCTAATATAGTTCTATTTTTTTTTTTTTTTGTCGACGCTAATATAGTTCTATATGAGTATGATAAAAGCATTTTTACAGTAAAGTAATATTTCAGACGAACCATCATAGTTATAACTTCTATTGATATATAAAAAATTTAAAATATAAAATTTATACTGTGGTGTACCGCGGGTTAAACACTAGTTATGCTTTAATTTGTAACCAATACTCAATATAAAATGGGGGAATTTTAAAAATACCCCTTTTCCAAATTATACTCCCATGTTCCAAATTACAAGAAGTTTTAGCTAAAAGTACAAAAATTAAGAATTTTAAAATATATATATATATATATATATATATCATTTAATAATTAACTAAAAATAAAATGTAACCTATCATAAAAAAGAGTCAAAAGACCAAAACAACATTAAAACTACCTAAAAATTTGTAAAACATCTTCTAAAATGAAAAAAAAAACTCCTTAAACATCCTATATTATGGAGCAAAGAGAGTATCTAACTAGAAGGAAACCACATTTTTAACCAAACTTAAAACTGTAAGAAGTTATATGAATAAATCAAATTTTATTATATTATTTTATATGAAGTATGGGAACCTTCATACGGAACCCAAAATCCGTATGTTCTTGTGGTGGGCTCTGTCCGGAGCCTCGGCAGTTGCAAAATGTATGCGTAAACATGGTAGTCATGTTAATCCGCTATGTCAAGCTTGTAAAGTCGAGGAGGAAACGATATCTCCTATTCTTTTTGGTTGCTCCCTAGCTAGTCAAGTTTGTTCTACACTTTCTCTTCCATTACCGGATCATGGTTTCTCCTTCAGTATTGCTGAAAACCTTGATCATGTTCTCGGGTTAATGGATTAGATTGATCTTCCAGTTCAGAAAAGGAATGCGCTTCCTTGGATTCTTTGGGAGACGTGGAAAGCACGAAATGGAGCTATTTTTGCAGGCCAGGTGCATGATCATAACATCATACTTGCCTCTACTTTTAATACGGCTGAGGAATGGTTTTTGCAACAACATATAGTGAACTCTTCGCTGCATAATGGTGGCCCTCGTGGTCCTTCCGCCTCGCAAAGATGGTGAACCAGCAGTCGGTGTTTTAAAGTGTAATGTCCACTGCTCATGGATTAATGAGCTCTGTTTCAGTGGAGGTGCTTGGTTATTACGGAATCATGATGGAGAGGCTATGTGTCATGCTTGGGATGCTTTCTTACCACATCAAAACAGGATTTCTGCTGAACTTAGCTGCATTTATTGGTGCCTTAAGAGTTTAAAAGATCTTCATATCACCTCTTGTGAAGTTTGGTCTGATTGTCATGCTGCTCTTTCAGCTCTTGCGAATCCTGTGGCCTGGCCAAAATATCAGTCAATTCTTGACAACTTCGCAGGTTGTTTACAGTCTATGGAGGTGATCTCTTTTTATGTTTCTTCGCCAAAAGAAAATGTAGTGACGAGAGACATAGCGAAGAGTGTGACCAGGGAGGGGAGGCTTACATCGTATCTTTCTCTTGGGGGGCCGGCTTGGTTACATGAGAAGATTGAGCGAGATCGTCGATAATCTTTTGGTGTCTTATTATTGTTTCTTGTACATTCATGGTTTTGCATTGTATTTTTCAATCTATTATCAATAAATGAATATTGTCGTGGAAAAAAATATATATTTTATTCACAAACTAAACTATTTGAAATATTAATTAAATCAAATTTTAACTCAGTATTTTTATTGTTAAACTATATTATGTATTTTCTTACTTAAACTACAAAGAGAATTTTTGAGAAATATCTCTTTTGGTATACCTCTTTTCAAAAATTCCTCTTTTATCTATCCGTTTTCAAAAATACTTCTGCTTAAATATGAAAATTTGTAAAGTTTTATATGGTATAATAACTACCATTGTGAGATTCGATCCAAATAATTTATAAGGTTTTAAAAGCTTTTAAATTGTTTCAAAAGGTTTTAAAATGTTTTTAAAAGGATTTTATAAGGTATTTATACGGTATTTACGAAGACATATAAAATTTTACACGCATATAAAGGTAATTTTTGTTAAATTTATAAACTTACACACATATTTGGATAAACTTTAACATTTTTAATGGTTTTTTATTAAGTTTGAAAAAAGGTATTTGAAATGGGTATTTTTGAAATTCTCCCACTACAAACAATGACTACAAAAAATGATTATAATTTTGGGCTTTGAGTTTTTGTTGTATTACAAAGATTTACGATATCTATAATATTATAAACAATTACTTCTCGACAACATATTAAAAAGGTATTCAAATTTAACAAATCTAATATATATATATGAGAATATCAAAAACTTTAAGAGTACAAGAGTTAATTTGTGAAACTCACGATCATACGATAGAGCGGGTTATGATTAATATTTTTACGAAATAAAATCTTTTACAGTTTGGTCCATCAAAGTATTTGCTGTGAGTGTGTATATTTTTACAAAAATACATATTTTTTTATACAGATACAATCTTTCACGAGTTTGTCCATCAAAATATTAACTGTGAATGTGTATTTCTTACAAATGCATAATTTTACAATCTCTTACGAATTGGTCTGTCAAAACATATACACTATGAATATGCAATTTTATAAATATAATCTTGTACAATTATTTACTTATTTATATTTCTATCACAAATTATATATATTACATATCGATAAATATTCCGATCCTAATTTGAGTATCTTTTTCGGTGCATAGTTTTTTTTTAAAACCACAATTGAGAGAGTATTGTATAATCTTAAGAAAATAGCACAACAACATCCCAGAGTCAATTAAAAAAAAAACAACCAAATAACATTATAAATAATAAAACATGGCATGCTTTTTTATCACCGATCACTCGAAAACACACTCTAGGAGCTAATCCTCGTATGTTGCACAACGAGTCGTATGGATCAACATACCTACTTCCCCCGTTTCCCGTAGCTGTCTCTAAGAGTCACCGTCCGGTTAAACACAAGCTTTCCCGGTGTAGAGGACTTGTCAACCGCAAAATAACCAAGCCTTTCAAACTGGAATGTGTCCCCGACCACAGCATCTTCAATAGTTGTAAGAGCATAGGCATCAGAAACAACCACTTTCGAGTTTTGGTTAATGTCAGTGAGCCAACCATCTTTGAGTTCAGCTGGATTCTCGGAGTTAAAGAGTTTCTCAAATAACCGTACTTCAACCTTCAAGGGCTCTAGTCCCGGTGAAGACTCAGGAACCCAATGTAGAACACCCTTCAGCTTTGTCTTACTCTCAGGATCATACTCCGCATGAATCTCACAAACAGTTTCACCATCATCCGCAAAGACAACGTTGGTGCACTTGATTTGAAAAGCGTACCTAAGCCATACTGATTTACCAAGAGCAAGTCCATAGTAATCTTTTGAATCTTTCTTTCTGAAGTCAGACTGTTCAATGTATACAACTCTAGAGAACGGAACCTTGTAGGACGCCGAGGGATCATTAGGCCATTTTTTCGCATCAACCTCGATAACCTTACCTGGTTCCATATTGGTAATAACCACCTTAAGAGGATTCAAAACCACCATGGTGCGTGGAGCTGTTATATTCAACTCCTCTCTAATATGATGCTCAAGACGACTCACATGTATCATGCTACCATCACTTCTTGTAATCCCAAGTCCTTTTACAAATGCATTAATCGATGTTGGAGTTACACCTCTCCTCCTCAATCCAGCAAGTGTCAAAAGGCGTGGATCATCCCAACCATCAACATACTTGTTTGTCACAATGTAGTTAAGCTTACGCTTGGACATTACAGTGTTTGTGACATTAAGCCGTGAATATTCCCACACGTGTGGCATGTAGAGACCTAATGAATGTAGTAGCCAGTAATATGAAGCACGCCGGGTTTCGAATTCAAGAGTACATAGCGAATGCGTTATATTCTCAAGAGAATCAACAATGCAGTGAGCATAATCATAGGTCGGATAAATACACCACTTCTCACCAGCATGAGGATGAGATGTGAACTTTATACGGTAGGCAATAAGGTCAAACATGTTATAGTTATCATTCTGCATGTCTTGTTTCATCCTAAGCGTTGCGTGACCTTCCTCGATCATTCCTCGTCTCATTTCGTCGAAAAGCTTTAAAGATTCCGCGATAGGCCTATCTCTCCAAGGGCTGTTTACTTTCTTCTCTCTATACTCTTTTATCTCCTCGGCGTTCTGATGATCAACATAGGCATGACCTGTTCGAATCAACTCCACAGCAAAATTGTAAAGTTCTTGGAAATAATCACTAGTATACGTATTCTTGAAAGGCTCCCAACCCATCCATTTAACAATATCTTCAATGTGGTTAATGTACTCTTTCTTCTCGGCCTCCGGGTTTGTATCATCATACCTTAGATAACAACAGCCTCCTCGGTCTTTCGCAAGACCAAAATCAACAAACATAGCTTTAGCATGTCCTATATGTAAATAGCCATTTGGTTCAGGTGGGAAGCGTGTAAAAACTTTCCCTCCAGTCACTTTGAGATGTTTCTCAAGTAGCTCCTTTGTATTTTGGTACCTAAGGACCGAGCCGTCGCTGAATAAGACTTTGGTGTGCACCATTAAATTTTGGCTTGGTTGAGAGAATATAGTATACGGGTTAATGAGCTCTTCTTCAGATGGACTTGGGACAGCTTCCACAGCAGTCTTCTCCTTCTTTTTGGTAGGCTTTACATTGTCAGCAGCAGTTCTCTCGCCAAGCAACTCATACAACTTTGCATCTATGACGCTCTTGACTGTCTTGGGATCTGCCCATGAGAGATATTTGCGGACATGTCCGATATATTCACCTGTATTAGTTCGGTAACGCAGTGCCAATATGGTATTCAAGTTTTCTTGAACGATGTGGTCGACTGTTTTCTCAATATCTTCTAGGGAGACGTCAACCCTAACACCACACGGCTCCTCACCAGCCTGGTGGATGACGGCAATTGTATCGGAGGTGATCCTACTGTTGTTTTCGACGGTGTTCTTCATAGTTCGTTCGTCCAAAGTAACCTTGCGGAAGAGCTCGAGAGGGTTGTTGGCTTTAAGAACCGCCGAAGAGAGACGCTTTAGGGTTTGATGTTTAGGGATGAAATAATCTATAGGTGCATTGTTCATAAATATATATCAATAATCTTGACATGTGTAAAAAAATTAGCTTTTGTTTTTGTTTTTAGCATAATAGAAAACTAATTATAAAAAGATTATGTCACATATAATTTACAAATTATATCTACGTTTTTTCCCTTTTCTAAATAAAAAAGGAAAATTAACAAAACATATACATATTATAATTAGATTTTGACATGTATCAAATAAAAAAAAATCTTTTTTGATAAATTCAAATAAAAAAATCTTTGATGACAAAAAAAAAATCTTTAAGTATGATTTTTAATCTATAAAAACGAATAGCAAATCTATACTATTAATTGATAAAGACAACTTGAAGCCAAACACCCCCCAATTTTTAAAAACAATTTCATGAAATTAAAACCAATTGCCAAACAGAATTAATGACAGCAAAAAAAAAACAAAAACAAAAACTATCTATATTTATGGAAATCATAATAATATTTTACCATAAAAAGTGGACAATTAGATTCAAAATTAAATATATGTTAACATATCTATTTTGAATATACATAAACATATTTAATATTAATTTAATATTTTAATATAATTTCGAAATTAATAATTTATATACAATGAAATATAATAAAACAAAGATAACATTTTTTTAGAAAAATAAAAAGATAAAAAATATGTTAGCATATGAAATAATCAACTAATCAAATTCTACATAGTATATATACATAACTGATCATATCATAAAATTTTAAAAAATTATAT